AAATGTGGGTTATATGCGAGCATGACACTAGCTGTGGCCGCTGAATGCTTGAGGGAAAGCCCCACGGTGTCCGCGCACGAGTTCAATCAGGACGTTTACCCCAATATGGAAATTCGCTGCTTTAGCTGCAGATTGTTTTCCTGATCGTGACATTCAAGGTGAGCCACGACAATTCGTCAAAAGCCATTCTGCCCAATCGCCAGTCAGATGTGGTCCAATAGAGACGGTTACCGAAGAGACACCGTACTCGTTAGCCGGAAGGCGAGGAATCCGCAAGCCATAATTGGCTGGTTTTGTCATCTGGCCGTCGATCTGAGCTTAAGCGAAGTAACAGGTACATATCCTATACGAAATACGACGATGGGCCTTGGTTTCATCAGTGCATGTTTCAGATTGGCGGAATCAAGTGTAGAACAAGTATAGGTAGTGGACTAGGACTTTTGATGCTTTTGATGAGCGTTTACTCTTTTGAGACTCGCTTCGAACGTGATCCGCTTTCCACAAGCTGGCGTGACAACTGGCAAACGCTATCAACTACCAGCGACGGTCGGACCTATGTCTCAGTAGACATCTCGTGGTCTCATCTTTGATGTAGCTTGAGGTTTAAACCTATGGCCTCAACCCTTAAGAACAACAATTTTTAAAAGGGTATGTCTATAGCTTATATTTATCGTCATCCCCAAACTCCGATGAAATGAACACATCCCCTTCGTCTCACATCTTTCTCTTCTCCTAGATAGCTCTATATATCATCATATTCTATCCTTCTCACATAAGTCTCCTCTTTACAGGCCTTTACAGGGCCCATTATTGTCTTACACTAGTTCTAACATTGCAGTACTGCGAATCCTTATGCGTGGTAGATCTATGGCAGGACTCCCCATACGTTCATCTCTTGAGGTTGGGAAGGAGTGCTTTAGACTCAATGAGGATTCGTCCACTTCCCTAACTGATACATAGCCTATCATACTACGGAGTATAGATGTCGCCTCTGCCTTGCTTGGGATGGAAGAGAACGGTCCGTGAGGGAGACAGAAAGATATGAGGGCGGTTGAAGGAGAAGAATCGGTTGATGGGAGGTGGGAGATGAGAGAGAGAGAGAGAGTTGGGAGATGAGAGATGTGAGAGTTAGAACCGCGGTGAAGTGAGGTCATACGACTTCAGATCTACCGTCTGGCACTTCCAGAAATTCACTTCTCTCTCATCGACGAGATTAATGGGTATTATCTCTCCTTCTGTCCCTTCTTCCATTCTCGTAGGAGCCTTCTGGCGTCTTATTTTCTCCGGAGAAGGGCATCCTGTAACTCTCATGCCTCACTTAACGCCTCAGGGGACCTGGCGCAGTACTTTCTTATGTGATCAACATGATACCTCCCGACTCTCATCCCTGTGACCAGATCTTCAAGAACCGCTGACCTCTTGTGGCTTGTCAATCGCTTTAGTTTGAATGGACCTTTCTAGCGCGGATCCAGCTTGCGCCCTTTTCCCTTCTAGAGTACTGTATCCCATAGCAAGACCAGATCACCCTCCCGCAAGCGACCGGATGGTGGTATGGAGGGAGAGTCGTGACGGCGATCTCTGAGTATATCCCGAGCCTCCTGCATTCGTGCCATTCGTCCTTCAATCCCAGGAGTCAGGTCAATTTCCTGTCCAATCGTATGATCCACGTCGTTAAGCACCCGGTGTCCCACTGGAACTGGCTGGCTATGCCTCGGCTGAAATCCTAAGAGGATCTCAGCAGGTGAGAATCCATGCTTCTCGATCCTTCGCGTGTTGATGTCTTGGACAGCCTGTTTAAGGCGTACAACCATGTTCCTGTTGTTGCCTTGTCCCAATTATGAACCCCTAGTGGCGCCCCAAGAAAAAGCTCGCACGCGGTATCCCAGCTGAACAAATTTAGTGACTGAGGATATCGGCTGAATCAGAACTGCATCCATGACCTTGAATCGCACAGCTCAAATGTGGTCGTGAACTCACTGGTCCCTGACCAAAGCAGTAGAAACTTGGACTCATAGCAGAGTCGTCAATTCATCATGCATGATGACGAATCAAATATCTTGTTTTGAGCCATGCGTGGCTGGTGATGTGTATCTAGGTGGCATCATTCGCAGCCATAGCGTGTTCATTACCGCGTTATAAGGATTCCTGAAAAGTCAGCCTTGAATACTCATAGCTCGCCGTTATTATCTCACCAAACGTTACCGGCATCATCATCGGTCTCGGGGTTGGGGATTGAAGCTTTATCAAAAGCAAACCCTGATCCCATTCAATTCTGAGAGACAATGAGGGCAATACTTGCCGGGGTAGCCCTCTGCTTCCCTTTTCCCTTTGCAGTACCAGCCTCGCGCGTTCTCTTGGCCATTCAAACTGCGCCGGTTTGATCAGCAATGTTAATGTTAAGCGGCATATCTTCGAAGAAGCCGAGAACGTATCGAGCGGCGAGATATTCGAGGAAGGTAATACGCTCAGCAACGCTAAGGTCTTCAAGAATTTCATCGATCTTTGTGTTTGAATAAGGATAAGAAAAGGATCCATTGAAGGTTGATTTTTCGTTGCCGTACAGGTGTTTTCTTCGACATTGTATAGGTTCCATAGTAGTTGTAAGCTTTCGATGCTGTATATGATCAATTGAACCGATTCAATCGCGTATCTTGTCTTCTTCTGTTGTATTGATCTCTCCGGCAACAGCTATGATTGTTTTGATACCATGGATACGTTCAGTGACTGATTTTCGGTAACCTTGTTGTCAGAATGTGTCTTGTGCTGCAACCGGGTTTGGCCCAGGGTAGTCATGGTGCCCAAATGGAAGGCATCGATTTTTCCACTTTGAAGGATCTTGTGTTGTAGGATATAAACGGCAATGTAGATCAGTGTGGAGATAAATTCCCTAAGGATCATCTTTTTTGCTTGTAAGTTCCAATGACTTTAAGGGGTTGTCGCAGCTTTCAGACGCAGCTTTAGTCTGATTCCACAGATTGAGTAGATTGGACATTAGAGAAGAGTGAAAGCATGGACTAGAAAGCCAAAGAAGGATGATATAGTTTTATTTTGATATTCACTCTCATACGTCAAGTAATGTGAATGCAGATGCTCATCTCTATGACTGGATATTCACACTTTTGAATCTAGGATTGTTGGTTAATTCTCGTAAATAGAAGAGTCATGTTAGCACTAGAACAATAGCTTATTGCAACCTAGAACAACCTGAGATATCAAGGATAAGAATATCTGTTTAAGATAGGACCTCAGATTGCTTCAGGCCTCAGGCCAGAACTTGGTCTCGTGATGCCAGGATCCACTTTAGTAAGATATGCGGGGTCCCCGGAACAGCGATAAGGACAAGGTCCAACTCCAGTGCTACATGAACTTATGACCTCGGAGGATATGTCCCCTCTCGAGAGAGCCAATTTTCATATATCCAGGTTGCTCTCATGGGGCTGGACTGAAACTCTGAATGTTATTTTGCGCAGGAAGAATAAGATTTTTTGAGTTTCTCTGTTGACACATCCTGATCTCCCCTCCATCATTCGCAGTTAGCACTAGCTGTTATCATCATGGGTGACTGCGGACCAGCTGTCCCATCCATCCACACTAAACTTGCGAGGCGTCCTTCACTATCCACTGGGGACTCAGATGAGATCACTGTTCTTGTCACTGGGTTTGGTGTAAGTGTCTGCCGATAGCTTATTTTCCCTCTCACTGCACCCTTTGGTCACAAGTGCCAGCTCATACTAACTTGACCACTAGCCTTTCAAGACTAATCTCGTCAATGCCTCGTACCTGATTGCTTCATCCCTTCCTCCTTCGTTCACCTTTACTGTTCCACAAAACTCATCCGCATCGCCAGACGGGCCCACTACGACTCATCGAGTATTCATCCATGTCCATCCGAACCCTATCCCCGTCGCTTATTCCACGGTCCAATCAACCGTGCCTTCCATAATCGATGACTATGCCAAGGCACACGGCGGTCGACGGCCAGATATTGTGATCCACATGGGCATAGCAGCAACGAGACATCACTATTCCGTCGAGACAAAGGCACACCGGGACTCATATCTCATGTCGGATATCGAAGGGCGATCGGGTTACGAAGCTGGAGAGAAACGATGGAGAGAGCTTGACCTGCCTCCTGTGCTGCAGGCGGGGAGATCCGCCGATCCCTTGTCCGTCTCGGACATTGCAGAACATATACATGATCAAGTGGTCACTCCATCGTCGCAAGCGGTACAGTCTTCCTGGAGCCCGCATCCACCGAACGACAAATTTCTCGATGTATGGAAGTCATTTGCTGCGGGGACCGACGTTCGGATCTCGGAGGATGCCGGACGTTATCTCTGCGAATTTATCTTCTACACCAGTCTGGCGCATGCCTTTAAACAAGGCCAGGACCGGAACATCGTATTCTTGCACGTCCCTGGTGCCTATAATGATCAAGCTGTCCAGACCGGGAGAGAGGTTACCATTGCATTAATCAAGGCTCTAATTACATGCTGGGCGGACAGGACGATGTAAAGGCATGGTGATAGGGGATTAGTACATTCATGATTTGCATGACTTATACGCATAGCTTGGATGCTTAGATGACGACCACATCTAGTTTATTGATCTAATCATTGATAGTTTACTAACGAGTAATGTCTCATCTTCGGTAAATCAGCCGAGGTTCGCGTTCCATCCCGTTCGAATACTGGAGCTCATCCAAGGAATGCTTACACCATTTGTTCCTGTCATTACGTTTCTGCCATTACAGAACTGTAGTGACCAAAAGCAACACGGCAGAGCTTCCATAAGATTATCAGCAATGTTAACGGCCAAGCATGACCTTGACACATCAACGATAACGAGAGCACATGAAAGGCGGCTGTTCCCGGCAGAATACCGAATATTTTGCTTATCAATACATGCAAATCTAGATATTTATGCGCAACGTACCAACAGAGAGTTGGAAGAACTTTGAATTGCCTGACTCACTGACAATTGACAATAAGACAGTCGAAATGATGGGCTTCTCCTCTCCAGTCCTCCCAGTAGCCGCTCTCGGACTGCTCCTCGTGGTCCTCGCCCATAGAGTCATAAACTGGGCGAGAACCAACAAATCCAGTCTGCTCCAAGCCCTCAGACTGCGAAAAGAGACCAGCAGCGAGATCGTCTCTCTACGCGTCTACCCCATCAAGTCCTGTCGCGGGTTTGAACTCCCCAAAACCACACTCCGCCTCCACGGCCTAGACCTTGACCGACAATGGATGTTCGTAGACGCAAAGACCCACGAGTTCCTCACCATTCGCCAAATCCCCCAAATGACACTGATCAACACCGGCCTCAGCGAGGACGGCACCTCCCTCCTCCTGAGCATCACCGGGTCTCAAGAGAGAATCCAGATCCCCGCCCGCCCCGACGCCGCCTGGCTAGCCGCACACACGACCCTCTCCCAGGTCAAGATCTGGGACACCGTGACAGACGGGCACGTGTACGGGGACGCCGTCAACGCGCCGTTCACCAGGTTTCTGCAGCGCGACGTCTGTCTAGTCTACAAGGGCCCCACGCCGCGCATCCTGCAGGGCAACGGCGACCCGCGCCTGCTGGGCCGGCAACAGAGCACCTACTTCCCCGACGTGCATCCCGTGCTGATTGCCTCCAAGGCGTCCCTGGCGGAGCTCAACCAGCGACTCCGCCGAAACGGTGCGGAGGCGATTACCATTGAGCGGTTCCGGCCGAATATCATCGTCCGGGGCACGGTGCCTTGGGCGGAGGACTCGTGGAAGACGGTCCGGATTAGTGGCTGTGGGCGGGAGCCGCTGGACTTGGATGTCGTGGCGCGCTGTGCACGCTGCCAGGTGCCGAATGTTGATCCTGATACGGCGGAGAAGCATAAGCGGGAGCCGTGGGATACGCTGATGACGTATCGCCGGGTGGATGAGGGGATGAAGTATAAGCCTTGCTTTGGGATGTTGAGTGCGCCGCGGAGTGAGGGCGTTGTTGAGGTGGGAATGAAGCTGGAGGTGTTGGAGGAGACGACGCAGCACCGGTATATTAAAGGATTTTGAGTAGCAGGCATTGACAATATCCACAAATCAAGTATTTTTCATCATAAGTACTGTACACTATGTCTATGGAGGTATCTAGGTAGCTAAATCTTCATCTGCTTGCTGGCAGAAACACACCAGTTGTTCCAGTCCGAGAAAAACTGAGGCTGGACATGACACTTCTTGCTGAGCAGCTGCTCCTTGCGCGTAGCCGCATACACATCCACCACATCCGCAATGGCGTTCTTGTCGTGCGCCACCAGCACCTTGACCACCAACAGGCTCGCCTGGCTGCAGGCCGAAGCATGCGCAGGCGGACCACTATGCGTCGCCTCGGCATGGATGGACTTCAACAGTTCCCACACCGGCTCGGTCGAGTCCAGCGAAGGGAGGGCGTTGCCCTTGCACAACTTGGTATACTCGCGGAGCACGCTGTTCGCCTTGTTTGAGAGCTGCTTGACGGTCGATTTGCGGGCGAGACGCAGCAGAGGGAGAAGAAGGTCGAGCGCCAGGACCTTCGAGTGGCATTTCTTGACGTAGATCTCCAGCAGGTCCAGGACGCGGTTCTTGAAGTTGACCATGTTCTCCTTGGCGTCCTTCTTGTCCTTCTTCTGTCCCAGGGCGTCCCGGCGCGCGCGGAACACCTTGGCCAGCTGTTCATCGACCTGCTCCATTTCGTCGTCGTTCATGTCCGCGTCGGAGTCCTCGGACTGTTCGTTGAGGTCTTGGTCGGCGCGGTGCGTGCCGAGGGCTTCAGCGAGCTTGGCTTCGAAGGCGGCCATCTCTTCGTCGTTCTCGCCTTCGTCAGATGCGGCTTCTTCGTCGTCGTCCTCATCCTCCTCGTCTTCGTCGTCGCCAGACTGCTCTGCGTCGATGACTTCGACATCACTGTCGTCTTCGTCGACGTCCATCATCTCTTCGTCCTCTTCATCATCCTGCTGCTCGAACATTTCCTGCTGACCAGCAAGACTCTCCTTGGCCTCCAGAATCTGATATCGTGGTTAGCGCTGGAACTATATCTCAAGAGGGACTGGACATACAGATACAAGGGAATCCAGGCCGTTCTCGGTGACCTTGTCGGCAAAAGCGCCGAATACCTGCTCACTTATACGGCGGAAGAGTTGCGACTGCTTGGATGCGAAACTCAGAAGAATTTCCACCAGCGCATCAGAAGCATCGGAGGCTTCCTCGTCTTTCGATTTCTTGTCGCCCAAGAACTTGGTGTAGCAGAAATCGAGCTCGTCAAGCATAGACACCGCATCGGCATCACCATTGTACACTTGCAAAATTGTCATGGAGTACAGAAGCTTGAAGGCCTCGACGCCCGAGACCTCATTCTTTTCCTGTTTCGGGTCAGAAAAGAGAAAAAATTTTTGAGAAACTCAAAATACTCACCATGCTGGACAACTTCTTCAAAGACTTGAAAGCGGTCTTGACCGAGTCACGCAGAGTCTCGTCCATGTTGATAATAAACTTGCCGTACTCCTCCGACTTGGCGGCGTCGCGGATCTTCCGCACAACAGCGTATGGGAGGGTAGTCGCATACTTTGGGTTGGCAATAAGACTGTTCAGGCACGAGCTGATTCGGTTTCGGAAAAGCTCCTGGCTCTGTTGGGTCAAGGCCGGCTGGACAGCCGCATCGTCCTTGGGCATGAAATAACCGAACCGCACGAATGTGAACAGAATCTGCTCTAGGACGGCCTGCAAGCTGTCCTGGGACTCCTCGCTTGCCGAAGCTCGCGATCTCACGATGGACAAGAGCAGACCGGCGAGAGACTGCCGGCTTGCTGCCGCCGCTTTGCCATCGTCCGTCCCGGGGCTCGCAATGAGCTTCTCAAAGAAAGGCACAATCTGCTTCAGTGCGTCGAAGTTTGCTTCGACTACAATCTTCTCGATCGTCTTCGTCTTGGTGGCTTGGTCGAAGTTGACGGAACCGGCTGAGCCCATGAGCCCGATGACAGACGCCGCGGCGAACTCGGGCTCCTTTGCAACACGGGCCTGAATCGATTTGGTGGCCTTGACGGCCATCCGGTGCAGGTATCGGTCCTCGACGGCCAGCTGGTTTGTCAGGCATCTGACGAGATTCTTGGTGAATACAAGAGAAGCCAGCTGCAGGGGGCATTCGTTGATGACTTTGATAAAGACGAGGAAGCCCCAGTACTTGCGTTCCTCGGACGAAGATGACGCGAACAGGCCATCTAAATGACTTGTTAGACGCGGTTCTTCTGGAAAGCGACAAAAACAAAAAACTTACTGTCAACGACTTCCGTCCAGAAATCAGCAAAGCTGAGACGAGACGAGTGCTTGGCTGACACGTCAGCAAGCTGTCTGATAACGGCATCCCAAGCAAAGTGCAACTTGGAACTCCACACTCCAGAGGACTTGGGATTGTTCCCCTGGCTTCCCGACTCGGAGTCTGCAGCCGAGGATTCCTTCATGACCTTGGCAAGCTGGTTTCTCTCCCGTGAATCCAACGGATCATCATGTTTCCAAACTTTTCTGGGGAACTCAGCCTTGGGGTAGGCTTCCTTGGCAGCCAGCCAGATCGAGACACCCTCCGGCGTACGGGCGAGATCGTTCGCACAGAGCCTCTCCAGCGCGACTTCCACATACTTAGCACCAGCCTTTTGCGAAGCAAGATCTAAAACGCAGCGATAGATGATCCACCCGCATTCCTCTCTAATCCAAGGCTTCTTCTTCGCTAGATCAAACACCAAATCCAAGACCTTGCTCCACTCGGCCGGTGGCACCTCGCCCTTGAACAGAATCGACGATTTGACAATAGCTTCCGCGCCAAACAGCCGTCCAAAGTGATGATCTCTTTGTTCCTGCGCACAGCAGTCAGCAAAGGTAATCTCAGCACACAGAATCAACCAAACCTACCTGGCCTGTCTCGCTCCCCGACGAATTGGACTGCGACTCCCAGATACTCAGAACGGCCGGAATAGTAATCTCCGACTCCTCCTCCCTTGGCGCCGCAAAAATCTGCGTCAAGATCTCCGTCAAAGCAATGGAGAAGCCGATTCTCGCAGCCTTGCGGCTGCTGCAGAGGCCGCGGAAAAGTCTCTGCAGGGCCTTTTTGATCTGCTCATCGGTGGGTTTCTTGTCCGGCGTGAACTGCGACACCAGAGCCTGCGCGGCCTTCAGACGGATCTCGTCCTTTTCGTTCGCGAGGTCCTCGTAGATCTCGACTAGTTTGGTGTCGATGTTGACTGGCTCGCGCCGCCGCTTCTTGGAGCCGGCGTAGGTGTGCGCCATGATTTTATTGATAGGTTTGCTTTTACACCCGAATATGTATCTGATATATGTTTACTGAAACAAGTAGAGCAATTTCAGGGCGATAGCTGCTTGTTTCGAATGCAGCGATTGGGTGGTGGTGATATGCTGCGACAGCAGAAAATTTATGAGGTTGTATACCAAATCGGGTTAGCGTCTTCTGGTGAAGGCAACGGATTGCCGCTTTGGGAGCTTCTTGCAATGAGGACATACCCTGTATAATTTTGATCGACTAACCTAGATGAATGTCGCTGAGGAGAGGTGATCTTGCTCTGGGTATTTGTTTTACTACTCTTATTTGTGGTGGCGCGCATGCTGGTTCGCACCAGGATAACTCCAAGCCGAATATATATTTCACCCATCACCAACAGGAACACAATATGCAGAGCGACCAGACAAAATGTCAAACTGCCTATCTTCGGTCTCGCAGTTAAGTCTCAATGTACAGAGACAACTCCCCGAGACAGTCTTTTACTTCTCTTGATTAACCTTGGTAGAGCAGCCCGAGTATCGCCAACAAGAGTCATGTCAATACCCTCATACAACATCACATTCACATGAAGTGATGTGATAGCCTTGACTGCGTCTACCAGATACCTAGCTCCCGCCAAATGGATACATATTTGGTCCTCGATCTGGGCTACAGTTATACTAGGCACTGGCGTGTAGGATAGGCATCAGCTGCCCTCACAGATGCAGGTCTCGCCGTGCTGAGAACAAGCATTACCAGGGACTTGTCCTGACCAAGTGAAAGTAGACCAGACGCATGTCTATAACATTATCTCAACTGTATACGCTGCAGGTGATCTCACTGACTGGCTGATTCCCAATCAGGAGACTACCGCTACCACTACCTCCAGAGCCAGACGACCATGACCACTCCAACAATTGAGACGATCCACCCTACTTACTCAATCGATCCGCGCTCACATCTGATCCTAGAAGTATGAATCAACCTCACCGCCAGTTCGTCCATCTCCATGGCATACTCACCAAGCGTAGACAAGTCAGGATCCTAGATACGCACGGAGTACCTGGTCTGACAAAACTCCACGCCCCCTTGTTATGTATAGACACTGCGTATGCAGTACTATATCATACGTACGGAGTAAATGCATACAGCAAGTCCTGTCTCCTGCGTTATTGTAGTATGCCCTCCTAGACGGGGACACTGCGAGACATGCCCCTTGCACAGAATCACTAGTGCGATTGAGGCGAACTACTCGGTGAATGGTGATGTTCAGCGTAGGTGTCTGTCTTCTGTCTGTCAACTTTACTTTGCAACATTGCGTTAGCCATCTGTGGCATATTTCCAAAGGCTACAGCTACGGAGCACCTATTTGAGATGTGCGGCTCCCTTCATACCGCATAGGTATTCCGGGGTGAAATCCCATCCACTAGGAGTCACTCCGAGGCTCAGAGCACGACCGTTACAGGGATTTGGCTGGAACAAGAATATCCCGGAAGAAAATCAGGGACGAGGAATACGACACGGACCGAAATGGTAAGGCACGCGGGAAATTTTGGTTCTGACGTGGCAACGGGTAGCTCGAGGAATGTGCATAGACCGGCCTGAAGCTAGACGTGGTATATTCCAATAGGCATCCCGGTTCTAGGAAGGGAATAAGGGCAGCGATTGATAACGCGATCCTTGTACTCGCTTATCGAGGGGATTCATGCTGTAGCGAAGACATAATGTAGCGCTTGGATATGGCCTGAATCATCCTCAGAGACAAGAACAGCTG